GTATATCTGTAAAAAATAAGTCAAGGCAACTGGACTTGCTGTATTTTTCTTGAAGACGTTTCACTGGTCATCCATCCAGCTTTCTCAATTCAGAATTGAGAACGCTGGTTGGATGACCAGTGAAACGTCTTCAAGAAAAATACAGCAAGTCCAGTTGCCTTGACTTTTTTTTAAATTCAGAATTGAGAACGCTGGTTGGATGACCAGTGAAACGTCTTCAAGAAAAATACAGCAAGTCCAGTTGCCTTGACTTTTTTTTCAATTCAGAATTGAGAACGCTGGTTGGATGACCAGTGAAACGTCTTCAAGAAAAATACAGCAAGTCCAGTTGCCTTGAATTTTTTTTTTTACAGATATACCATGACATGGATGAATGAGAACCTTCACAGATGTGCTACACCCCTTGCTTAGCCAGCTGTATCTGAAGGTGTGTTGAAGGGGGTGGGCATGGGCAGCCTGTCTTTGGTAGCTCAGTCGGCCTGTACCCTGGTGTTTCAGCACGTTGTATTGGGAGCATGGCGTAATGCTGGGGCGCCAGTACCTGGACCTCCTATTTGCTGTGAGTACCTAGCTTCAACTTGGTGGTTCGGAAGTGTTTCAATCCATGGAGTTAATTCTCCACCACAGATTAATCCCTTCACCAGGGTGGGTGTAGTCATTTATGAGGTGCATGTTACATCTTAGGGTGAATTGTGTGCCTGGTGGTCTCCCGCGCGCAAGTTCAAGTGGTCGGGCTGTGGGGTACTGGGGCTGTGACTGGCGGCCTATTGTGCTTTTCTTTATCGGGAGTATTTTTGACAGCTGATCTGGGGCCGCTGTCTCCATTGCCCTGGCTCCCTCACACGGGTGTTTGCACCTCGTGCTCGACCTGTCCATTAACTGAGGCCGCAGCTTGTGGCCTGCTGGCGCCGGAAGCTGCGGCAGCCATGCTTGCTGAGGGTTCTGCCCTTTTGGTGATGTCACTTCCGCTCGCACAGCACCGGCGGCTCCTGCTTCTTCTGTGTGCGACTGCTAGTAGACCCTGTTTCAGTTTACTACCCTACTCCTCTTTACCCCTATAGTCCTAACATCCAATTAGGTCATCTAAATCTATCCACTCAGGTTTTACTTGGGTCCCATTTTGCATGAGGATGAGATCTGACCTGCATGACAGGCTTACCCTCAGCAGAAGTACAATTTTGAGTCATACTCATAAATATAAATACGAATTGTTTTAGATATGACAAATTGGACAGTAATATAGCTATTTTTTCTTCTTTCTTCTTTTTTGTTTGGACGACCTGTGATCAATATTAAGACCTAGAGATCAGAGGCAGCTCTCTAATTAGGCAAGTTAGGCGGTCTAATTAGGCTGTAGCTGCAAGGGCTGGGGAGGAGAAAAGTCGGTTCAGCTGTCCTCTGAATGCCCGCTTCAATAGTATGGCTCTTCAGTGGGAACGTGCAGCTTCCTCAGGCCACTCCAGCTGCTATGGGCTGGGAGGAAGACTGCACCACCACCACCGACTTACAGCAGGAGAGCAGGTCCTGTGAACAGGAAGGCGGCTGGAGGCACCTTGCTATACTGGAGGCTTCAAATAAAAACAGGAAAAATTGCTACAGAGCACCAGAACATCAGACGATCTATATGCACTGTAAGTCTCTGTACTCTGCATCCCATCCCTGTACTCTGTGTCCCACCCCTGTGCTTCTTATATATTGGTTAGATCAAGATAT